ATGATGGTGATGATGATGATGATTATGATGATGATACTACTACTTCTGAGGATGATACTACTAATACTGCTACTGCTGCTGCTACTACTACTACTACTACTACTACTAATAATAATAATATAATACACCAGATGCAGAAACAATGGCAAAATTAGCCGATTCATGGTCAATACCCTCTTCGTACCAATCACGCTGATGTCAACCAACCTCGTACCCATCAGTCGTTACGTAGTCTAGGGTTAAAAGCTGAAATCGAATGTTTAATTCTTCCTGCATAGGGCCAATATTTGCTAAGTAAAAATTATCAAACATACATACTGAAAAATTGTGTTGATCCCAAATGCAGATTCAGTGGATATCCTGAGAAAATGACCATCAAGATGCAGCGTGTTAGCACCATGTGTGTATATATAACTTGGCATGATAAAGTGGGCCAATATTTGCACTGGAAAATATGCAACTATTACGGGAATGAAACTGTAAAGAACTGGTATGAAGGTAGGACCTGTAACAAATTTATAGGACTTTACAGTACACAAAAACCGAGCAATCAAAGTTAATTCCTAGACTTTGTGATGAAAGGCCACAAGAACAGAATATGCTTTCTTATTGACATGACATTTGTTAACCATATTTGCCGTAATCTCTGAATATAGAATCCAGTGAAGTCAATGTGTTGTATATCAGAGGTTTGCAGTGAAGATTCGGAGAAACTAGCAGCAGTTAAGTAATTCTTTAAGACTTCGATATCGGAGGTTGGCAGTGAAGATATTTTTGAAGAAAAAAACAAAATGGCTGCCTTTATACACGTCAGATTGAATATTTTGAGCTTTCTGATTGGTTAACCCTTTTATTGGTGAACTATGAAATGAGTCAGCTCATTTTGGTTGGCTCACTAGTACCAACGTACCCAAAAATTTTAACAACATTCCATGCAGATAGTAACGTATCTTTGAAGATCTTAAAAAAACTATCAAAACAAAAGGGTCTTAAACTGGAAATCTCACAAATGTGGTACATGAGGGCATCAATAATTCTAGTTGGAGTTGGGCCCGTCGGTTGTATTGGAAAACAGAAGAATAATTCAAGTGATTCCTGGTAGACCATATCTTAAAGAAATACAAAAGAAAATGTACTCACAAGTACAGCTCACACATTACGAAAAGCTTTATGTATGCGAAATGTGTGTGATCTTTTCTTATTATTTTTGCAAAAATGATTAGTGGAACATATCAAGAAACAATTTCTGACCTTAGATCTCTGGTTGGGATCCGGAGATAAGAAATCAAAGTAGAAAAAGAATGAAAATAAGTAATGACTGAAAAGTAAAAGATTAAAAAAATCTGTAGTCTAAGAAAAGACAAACACCCCTCCATATATATATATATATATATATATATATATATATATATATACGTTATTTTTAACGCATTCGTTTACGCACGTTTGTTAGTGGGTATAGGTAGTCCATGTTAGTTAACCACTCAGGTATATTAGAACTTAATTAGAAATATTGTATTTTGTTAATGTTATGAGAGCAGACTGATTATAACTAAACCCGTACTGGCGTGAAACTTATATATTCAAGTATTTGATATGATTCTATATTACCTTTTTTAATATTTAACAATAATTAGCTAAATAAGAAACAATAAAAATCAGGACGAAATTATTGTTTGATTGTAAGGAGTGAAATGAAAAAAATTGCTCAACCGCCTTGAAAAAGAAACATGCGCTATCAAGGATTCTACTTGCTTTTTAAGATATACTAATACAAATAAACGTACAGAATTCATTTCTCCTCGACCGCTAAAGTGGAGGTTGTATATTAAAATTCCCTATAAAATGTATTCTTAGAAAGGAATATACGTAAAAATCGATTGATTTACGCTATTTAAACTTTTTGGATTGTTGTTCTTATTTGTAATCTCGAAATGTCGGCCGTTGTACGCTCCGGCCTTCTTCAGGTGATATACGTTTGAATTTCGAACCGAACCCTTCATTCCGTTCACAGGGGTAGATTGTTCTATTTCCACATGCCACGCCTTTTTCTGGATATCTGAGTCTCAGTTTTTTTGGGTTTTTCTTCTTAAGTAACTTAACTCTCATGTTTGTTCACGTCTGCTGTGGCCATGTATTAAACTCACAAATCTTTGGGTTAAGTCACTGGATTACTTCATCGAACGCTTGTACCCACTTCAATACCTGCTCACAGCATAGGTGAACAGATATTGGAGAGTTGATTTACTGAGCCCAAGTCCTGAAGAGATGTAAGGCTACCCTACTTGAGGGTATCCAATTCCTTACGTTAACAATGGCGGCTGTTCTAATTTGCTAATTTCTATAACACGCAAAAACAAATTCATTATTATGTACACTGCCAGTTGCAGGCTGACACGAGTTCACATTTATTATGCATCTTGTAAGTATTTGACTTATAACCATGAATAATTAAACTAACAGATAACCGTGCTAAAATTGCACAATTTCAAGAGCATATTTCTCTATTTTATTAACGGCTTCGCATATCAATAAATGAAGTTTATTTTATCAAAATCATTCTAGATTCTATTAAACTTATTCGGTTAAGGAGCTACTGTATGTTGTAAGCAATTGAACGTGTATTTTAAACCTGTTCTTTATTTGATCGTGGTGAGATAGAAATTTTATTCTCAAACCATCGACTACACCAAGCATTGTGTGTGTCCTACTCATGACCACATATTCAGCTGCCTATACCAATCCATCAATAGCCCTTACTCCCTGTCGACACAGCCACAACGGGATTTCTTTCATAAACGCCAAAACATTGGTAATGAACTTTGAGCGCTAGCCGGCGACATTGTAGTAAACAATGTCGACTTTACATCTCACCAATATGTCTGTCTCTCGAGTACTTTTGATTTACAATGTTATTTTCTCAAAGGTGGCTTTAAGTTTGCCTCAGGAACAAGAGGATTGAATTGGAGAGAAATTGTGATCAGGATGTCGGCGGCAACAGAAAAAGGAATATTTATATAATAGCCGTATAATTCTATGATTCTAACTTCTGTCGAGATCAAAATGTCTGTATTCCTTGGTGACTTATATAAGTCACTCTGCCCGGAGACGATACATTGAATTAACAAAACGAACAGTCAAGTTTCTACTTTATTTTTATTGCTCATTTCACAGGTGGCTTTTTGAACTGTTTCATGTAAATATCTTTATTCTAATGCTGTGTAATATAACTTTTGCTGTTAGTGACTAAGTGCTAGACATTTTCGCTTGAGTCAATGAAAGCGAAGAGGAATTAACATTAATATAAATGTATTTGATTATGTCTTTTTTTTGTCTAGTATCCTTATCCTTTCTGTTTTCATCTCTGTTCAGCTGCCGAAAAAAATTAAGCGTGTAATAATTATCTTCTTGATAACACCATTAAACTTACCTCTGGAATATAATACATCCGCTTTACAACATTAGGTAATGCTGTTTGGGCTTCTGTAGAATGTAGGTTTCGAATTGTCAGACCTATATACATTCTGCTTAGTTGGTCTTCAGCTAGCATGGTTTCCAACCAAGGACATAGTATAATTTGATATTTTTCGTACATCTGATTTAATGATAATGACTGGTATCTCTTTTTTGATTGTGCTCATCTCCAAGAATGAGTAGCTCAGTCACATTTTTATCTCATCAAAACCTAAAGAATCAATGTATGTTTTAACATAACAACACTGTTGAACGTATCTTAGAGTTTCTGGGAGAGAGCACACAATTTGGCGTGATCAACAGTTTTGGACAAGGCAAGTGTGATCAGAACCTTCTTCATGATGGCTTGTGACTATTGCTACCACAATCATTGATGACTTCCAAAAAATTTACCTACATTTTCGCTCAAAAAGCTATGGTCAGACCCTAGATATGTATTCGCTAGAGATATTTCTCATGAGTATTTTTGTACATTATTTACATTATTCGGACTATTGTCCTCATCTTTGTCGCCATATTTATTACAACGTTTCGGCCCTTGTACGTTCTGGCCTTCTTCAGATGGTTAGAATGTCAAACTCAAACCTTTATTTCGCTCACTGGGGTAGACTGTTCGAGTTCCACGTGCCATGTTTAATGGATGTCATTTACCAGTTATCTTCTGTTAATTTCCCTCTGAAAGTTCTCCACTGCCTTAACCGGATATTGAACTCACACTCTTTGGGTCCTGTCACTGGATCTAACCAAGGCCATTATCCACTACAACGTCCGAAATTTTGAAATAAATATGGCGAAATAGATGAGGACAAGTGTTCGAATAATGTAAATAATGTATATAATATCTCATCTCAGAAATATAAATAGATAATGAGTATTTTGGTGATAGTTAACGCATCAATTTTGACTGGTTTTGAAATCGGTACGTCGATTACACCGTCAAAATTGATAACTGCTACACTGCATACACACTTTTATATTTCCGTATAAAATAGATGTCAAATTGATAAAAAAAATATTGTTTGATTTTCTAAATTTGCTTAATAAGTTTTTGTTTTCTCTATAAGTTTTAACTTTTGAACTGTTTACAGCCATTTGTGTGTTTTGATTGCAGTTGACAAACGTGCGAAAATAAAATTGGAAAAGTCTAGACTATATCGTTGTAATTGATACATGAGTAAAGAAAATGTTATATATATAGGGGGCTTAGAAAGTAGTTATATTAAACTATGGATTCAAATTCGTTTTACGCGAAACAACGTATGAATTGTTCAGAATAAACTATCATTGCTCAAAAAATATCCAAAAATCTTCCATACAGTAGCTACTTTGACATAATCTTGAATATAAGTAAAGCCTAGCCTTACAAAAATTTTCGAAATAAGTTAAATATTAACATTTGAAATTCGAGATTTTACCGGTGTTCAAACGCCAACCATGAGGTACAGAATAATAAAGGAGAAAGTCTAGTTTTTTATACCAGCTCAGATTATATAGAACCTACACTCTACTTGAATTTCGATTATATAGGGTCATACCAGTTTGAAACACCAGTTTCTGTAAGATCTCCGAAGTGAAGCAACGTAGAGACTACTTAGTATATAGACGGGTGACTGCTTGGTAATACCAAGTGCTAGAAACATGCCTGTGCGGGTGAGGGCACGGAATTGTTATTCGGAGAGCCGAGTTCCAATTCCCTTTGGGTTCGTTATATTCACGTACGAGAAAAGACCTTTGAAAAAGGCATGAATCCATTACCTCACCCAGCATCTATGAGTTAATTATTAGGTTGGTGCAAAAATAATGACGTAAGAATGTCGTTTTTTGACGTTAAAAATACATCAAAAACGACATTATTACGTCATTATTTTTGCACCAGCCTAATAGTAAGACGTGTATAACTAAACGTTTATTATCTAAAATAAAATCATCATTATGAACTAAATGTATGTTCTCTCTTTAAATAACCTGCAATGGGATGATGAATCGTAGGGAACGCATCAGTCAATCGATCGATACTGCGTTCCTTTCAATTCTTAATAACCATGGGTTAAATATCACACAATATGAATGTCAAGGTTCAGTGTATTTTGGTGAATATCTTAGGTGTAAAATAAGGTATGTTGGCAAATTAGTAATGAATAAAAAAGTAACTGAACAAAAAGGTAAATGACCCAACAAAAGGAAATCGGTATGTAAAATTGAATACACACACACACACACACATATATATGTGTGTGTGTGTGTGTGTGGGAAAAAGTGTGAAAAGTGTGTATATATATATATATATATATATATATATATATATATATATATATATATATATATATATATTATATGCGCGGTACTTATTAGAAAGCGCTCAATATCAGAGATAGAGCTAATATATTTGGTTGGATTGATGTGAGTTTGTGACCCTGGGTTTCACGCTTTTGCGATCGTCAGACAAACTCAAAAGCGTGAAACCCAGGGTCATAAACTCACATCAATCCAACCAACCAAACATATATATATATATATATATATATATATATATATATATATATATATATATATATATATAAAAAGTTTCAAATTGAAAATTATAATGTTTTATTTTATGAAAGTATTTATTTATTTATATATATATTTGATATTTCAAATTGTCCTCAATTTTCATCAGAAATAACTGTTTGTTACAAATAAATTAAAATTACTGTTTGTTAGCAAGTAGCGTCCTTCGCGAGACGCGGACGTCACGTGATATGGAACGTCACTGTTCGGATATATATATATATATATATATATATATATATATATATATATGTGTGTGTGTGCGTGTGTGTGTGTGTTAACAAATGGATCAAATACGACATATTGTTATATTTAATTGATTTTATTTAAACGTTATTTTTGATAGAAACTCACATTCGAGTAGAAGTTCTGCTAATTATGTTTTGTTTTTTTGTTTTTTTTATTAAACTGTATTATTTAATTAAAAGGTGTTTTTTATATCCAACTACATCTGCCAGCCTGATTATTCAAGAAATCTTTTCAGAAAAAAATATGCCTTCTCCGGAGGAAACAGGGCTTAGAAAATTTGATACTCACAGACGGAAAGCAGGCGGTACAAAGGAAAACAACGCATAACGTAGCTAACGCTCTTATCTAAATCGATGCAAATACAAAGTACGAGAGAGATAAAATTTATTAAGAGCTACACTGGACAGAAGAGATACGTCACATTGAAGAGTATTGTTATTCTTCCTTCACGCTTTCTTTTACTACCTAGGATTTCACAATAGATACAAATTGTATTTCTAATGATCCTCTATAAAGCAGAATATCGTATTGTGTTTAAGAGCTACACTTTAGAAAGTCTATAGAACTAATAATTGTTTATGAGTTGGCTGTTACAAATTTGTAAGCCATTTGGTTAGGATACCTATTTTGTAACCATAATATTAGATAATGGTCAAGTCAATATCGACAGTTTATCAAATGACTGAGTTTGCTGTCTACTTTCTTAATATGACAGACGTCAAAGGAGGAGAATCGAAATGCACCGTATTGTAAAACAAATGAAATGTCCAAATGTTGAACGTCACGACGCATTGGCAAAGACATTAATTTGTTTGACGTTTGATTCGTGTCTGATGCCTTCGGCAAGATATTCTCGCACGACACCATTTGTCGTCTTATCATTATTATATTTTACAATTTATAAAAGTTGCTTTACGCTCAACAGAAGAGCATTGCGCTAAATAAGATTTGATAAATGCAGTAAAATAATGGGAAAAATAACATTTCTATTAATTTTAAAAGTTGAGAGCTCTCTTGATAATTCATTTCTATTAGGTCGTGTCTCAAGTAGAAACCGCTTGTACAAATAATTCTAATGACGACTGTATGATCGTAAGTACTAATCATATGGGTCAGGTAGGTAGTAATTTTGAGTAAACTTACGTACGTCAATGCTTAACTTAAAATTTATTGATATGTGTATATCACAACAACAGATAAAAAACTGTTCTCAATAAAAAAAAGCTTATTTTGTATTTATAATTGGTGGTTTCTGTAATTTTCCATTGATAATTCTTAAAACACATTTAAAAACTGAATGCACAATTGTACGTCCAGCAGCTGTAACATGTCTATATTTTTTTCTTGAAAAAAGCAACCTGAGTTGTCATTAGAAAAATGTTGTTTCTGTTGAGCAATCACGTTGTGAAGATAAACACTCAGTTGTGGAGCAAGCTGAGTGAATACTAATTCAACATTGAGAAAGAGAGCTATTTATGGTGCAATGGAGCATCTCATTGTGCTCAAGTGGGATAGTCCATTGCTTGGGCTGTGATTGGCTGCTGGTACATGAGTGGACGTATTTCTGTATAAATACCAGCTTGATTCCAGTCAGTTTGCATGGTTTGATCTGCTTTATTTTTGTTTGCCAGCTGGACGCTAGCTGGGACCCTTACGCCGGTAAGTGTTGTTTATTCTATTGTTATTCTACAGTTTCCATCCATGATAATGCAAGGCTGAATGACAAAAAAATGACAAAAGAAAAATTAAACAAATTCTGTCTGAATGAAAAGCAGAATTTGATGTTTACGTTGATTTGACTCCAAATGAGGATGGTGAAAACTTTAAATTTAATTTCTTAATATATGTTTTCAGTATATAATCTACCCGATTTCTTTTAATTTATTATTTTCCTGTTCCATCGTTATTAAAAAATCTCACATCTTAATAGTATAAAATAAGGAAAGAAATGCGAAATTTTGTAAGAACCTGAGTTCAAACTTAACATGGATAATTTTACAATGTTCTTCACGTTGGGACTTTTAGGAATCCATGTATTTTGTATCCGTAAAATAAAGAAGACTAATTCTTGAAAGGATATTAAAGGAGGAAAAATATTTATTTAGTAGAACTAAATTAGACTGTATAATAAAATAAAATAAAATAAATACTTTTGTAGTCATTCCAACACGTGTGAAAAAAAAATAGCATATTGTATATAATAATAATAATAATAATAATAATAATAATATGTTTCTCTTTTAATCAAATAATCCACTGAGATGATGTTTAGCCTCAAATGCAGATTCTGTGATAAATATCCAGAAACAAATGATCATCTTGTATCAGATTACATTGTATTGGCACCAACTGAATATAAAACCTGGCATGACAGCGTGGGCTAATCTACAGTGGAAAATCTGCAACATCTACGGGAAGGAAACTGAAAGTAATTAGTATGAACACCGCCCAGACTCGGTTACGGAGATAGGACATGTTACAATTTTATGGCACTACACAATACACACAGACAGAACAATCAATCAAAGCTAAATGACCAGCCATTGTTATTAGGGACGACAAAAAAAAATGTACCTCCTTATTGATATGGCAGTCCCTGCGGAATGCAATGTATCTTTGAAGATCTTCAAAAAGCTATCAAAATACAAGGAATTTGAAATTGAAATCTCAAACGTGTGGCACAAGGGAACATCAGCAATCATTTTGATGAGTTGGAAAAGATTCCAGCACACTTCTTGAAGCAATACCTGGAAACCCATGCCCTAAAGAAATACAAAAATTACTTCTCACGCGTACAGCCCACACCATAAAAGGGGCTTTATCTATGTTATATATATATATATATATATATATATATATATGTGTGTGTGTGTGTATGGTTATTACAGAATCTATATAACATTCTCTTCTACACAATCAAGAAAAATATAAGAGACTTAATCGCCCTCTCTCGTCAGAGTAATTTTCAATAATAGCTATATTAAAACTACATTGCTGTCCAAATAAAACACACACACTATATATACCTGTGTTTGTGTTTATATATATATATATATATATGTGTGTGTGTGTGTGTGTGTGTGTGTGTGTGTGTGTGTGTGTGTGTGTGTGTGTGTATTTATGCATATGCGTTGTGATTAAATAAACGTGTCAGTGGCAAGGTGCATTGTAAGTCCTCCTCTGTGATTTTAATACCCCTTAACTTTCGCTAAGTTGTCCAAATCGGCCATGATGACATTTCTAAAATTAGGTCTCTGGGCGGGACCCGGAAAGAAATGTGTACACACCAGAAATCAAAGGATATAAAATAATAATAGCAACATAACAACAACAACAACAACAACAACAACAACAATAATAATAATAATAATAATATATTCGTCTTTTAAACAAATAATCCATTGCGACAAAATGGTGTGGAAAGTGCCTTGATCGCTTGATCGATAAGTTTGTGTCCAGTCTCTTACAATATATCACCATTCTTGTTAGATTTTCTGTTGTCACAATGTTAGAGTGTCAGGGAGAAAGTGGATGCAAAGAAAAAGTATACAGATCAATTTAGCTAGATTGAAAAAAATATTCTATAAAAAATATTCTTTCAAAAATGTTGAAACAACTAACGTCGCATTTTGTGCATATTTGTAGACGTTGCAACATCAGCAAAGCCCAATCCTAGGAAATCCTAACGGATGAACGTGTCACAAGATCTTTGTTTCCATTTTTGTAAATACTGTTTTTTTTTAAATACTGTTTGTTATATATATATATAAATATATATATATATATATATATATATATATATATATATATATATATATATATATATATATATA